ACCAGATATACAAAATTTCATAATTTTGTTTGTTCTGATTTTCTTTTTGATAAACATGGTTGTACCTCTGAGCTCATATTTGGCTATTTTGGATTTTAAACATATTCTGTAATGATTCTGACAAGAGACTGTTGTTTACTTTGAACATGATTTTAAAGTATAAAGGTCAACTAAATCATAAAGTTTCAGATTGGAAGACGGAACAGAGCATTTTCATCTTTGGATATGTAGACAGAGTAATAATTAAAGATTACTTAAACGTGTGAAGGAAACAAAACACAACTCCAGGGATGTTTTAGATGAGGTAACGACATTCTGACATGTAAAGCTCACACAAACCTCACAAGAGTCAGTTTTGCACAATGTGAATACTTTATAGTTGCAATATTATGTGAAAATATAAATACATCAAATCTACCAAAATCTGCAACACACATAATTAAAATTTGACGTTTTAGGTGCAAGCTGGTGTTCTAATTTCCATGTGCACAAAGTCCCAAGCACAGTCACATCAAATTGTCGGTTATCCTTTCCAACCATTATAACAGCAAAAGGCAGTAAGAGCCTTTAATTGTACGATTTGTTTCGGTTTCGTGATGTTGGATTGTGATATGAAAATGGGAAGGTTAAGGATAAGTACACTGTGTAATTAAAATGATTGCTATGACAACAATTCCACTGCAGGAGAGATTAGTTTAGCGAGGTGAGACTGGCACCAAGTTCTCATCTGTCGCCGTGCCTTTCTCAACACGACACCCAAACAAAACAAATGGATTTTTCATTCACTCACACTGTCAGTTTTGTTTTTTGTCAGTGCATACACAATACCAGTTAGCAATTTCCACCACTTTTTCCTCAAAGAACTTTATTACAACGAGGCTCTCCAATTTTCGCTTTTTTTAGGCCGAGCCCCGACAGGGCGTAGGGCCTATTGCTTCCGCTCAGCGGAGCGAATGGGAAGGACGTGCGCATGTCCGAATTGACAAGACGACATGCAACTATGTCCACGGTCGCCCCCGGCACGAACAGCAGTATCCCAGTAACCCACGCCCAAGGCCTGGCTCATATTTACTACTGCTAAAATGAATGGAAGTCAATGGAAGGCGATGGGTGACCTCAACGAGATGGCGAATGACGAGCGCCTCAGTGCCCGTCACTCACCAATGACCCCACGGTGACGTGGGGAAGGTCGAGAGCTTTCAAAAAACGTATAATATGTTGTTCTAATGTTTTTCGGATATATTGTTTTTTGCAAAATTATTATTATTATTATTTTATTTTTATTATTATTCTTCTGCTCTTTGAGCTCTAATTTGACCCCCTAAACACGTTCAAAAACTCACCAAACTTGGCACAATATTCAGAAGTGGCGAAAAATTCGATAAAATATAGGTTTCGTGCACAGGCATAAAAAAATGGCGACACAGCGCCACCTGGAAAACTCAAAAATTCTGGGTCTATGGGAGATGTCTCGGTCAACTTTGTCGTAGAGCCACGAAATTCGGTACACACATTCAACATGTGAAGACAAACAAAAAATATTATTATGGCCACGCCCCCTGACAAACCAGAAGGCGGCCATCTTGGATTGAAATTTGAGTCCGCATTTTCGCTGACGTTACGTTTGAACGTACTCCTCTGAAGGCGCTTCACCCACAGGCCTGAAAATCACCGTACATCATCTAGAGAAGTCGAACATCTAAAGTTAGCTGATTTTTTTTGATAACTGTCACGGTTTTCGTGCGGCGAGGCCGCAAAATTTGGTCAAAATTTCACCTAATTTCAAGGTGACATTATTTGCTCCTGTTCGCACAGACTTAGTCCGATCGTCTTGAAATTTGAATCACTAATGTGTGATCTCAGTCTGAATATAATACACTATAAAACATATGAAAAAACACTATAGCGCCCCCTACCATCGACATGAAACGTCAACATTATCAGATCTGCACCAAATTTGGAATTACATTCTATGCATATTTACGAGCAAAAAAGTACATTATGGACATGGCGAATTTTTCACTGTTGGCCAGCAGGGGCGCTCAAACTCCTCCCAAAAATATTTTAAAATATATTACACGCACATGCTTAGTCCCATCATGCTGAAATTTGAATCACTAATGTGTGATCTCAGTCTGAATATAATACACTATAAAAATGAAAAGTGAACACTATAGGCCCCCTACCATAGACATGAAAAGTCAACATAGTCAGATCTGCACCAAATTCGGGAATTAAATTATATGCATGATAACGAGCAAAAAATTATATTATGGACATGATACCATTTTCACTGTTGGCCAGCAGGGGCGCAAAAACTCAAAAATTTGGCGCCTATGGGAGACGTCCCCGTCATCTTGTCATAGAGCCACGAAATTCGTACACACATTCGTCATGTCAAGACAAACAAAAAATGTTATTATGGCCACGCCCCCTGACAAACCAGAAGGCGGCCATCTTGGATTGAAATTTGAGTCCGCATTTTCGCTGACGTTGCATTTGAACGAACTCCTCTGAAGGCGCTTCACCCACAGGGCTGAAAATCACCGTACATCATCTAGACAAGTGGAACATCTAAAGTTAGCTGATTTTTTTTGATAACTGTTACGGTTTACGTGCGGCGAAGCCGCAAAGTTTGGTCGAAATTTTGCCTAATTTCAAGGTGACATTTGCTCCTGTTCGCACAGACTTAGTCCCATCATGCTGAAATTTGAATCACTAATGTGTGATCTCAGTCTGAATATAATACACTATAAAACATATGAAAAGTGAACACTATAGCGCCCCCTACCATAGACATGAAACGTCAGATTTGTACCAAATTTGGGAATTCAATTCTATTAATGACTAGAAGAAAAAACATATATTACTGACATGGGAATTTTTCAAGGTTGGCCAGCAGGGGGCGCAAAGAACATCTAAAGGCGTACTATGTCATTTTGCTGTTTGCAGGCACAGAGTTTGCGGACACGGCGTTTAGGGTATGGTGTTGGCGGGGCGCACCATTTGTGGGCGCGGTGTTTGCGGGCGCGGTGGGCGAGGGCCGTTCGACGCCGCTTGCGGCTTTAATTATTCTTCTGCTCTTTAAACCCTAATTTGACCCCCTAAACACGTTCAAAAACTCACCAAACTTTGCCCAAAATTCAGAAGTGGCGAAAAATTCGATAAAATATAGGTTTCGTGCACGGGCATAAAAAAATGGCGACACAGCGCCACCTCGAAAAGTCAAAATACATTGCGCCTATGGGAGACGTCCCGACGTCAACTTTGTCGTAGAGCCACGAAATTCGGTACACACATTTGGCATGTCAAGACAAACAAAAAATATTATTATGGCCACGCCCCCTGACAAATCAGAAGGCGGCCATCTTGGATTGAAGTTTGAGTCCGCATTTTCGCTGACGTTGCGTTTGAACGAACTCCTCTGAAGGCGCTTCACCCACAGGCCTGAAAATCACCGTACATCATCTAGACAAGTGGAACATCTAAAGTTAGCTGATTTTTTTTGATAACTGTCACGGTTTACGTGTGGCGAAGCCTCAAAATTTGGTCAAAATTTTGCCTAATTTCAAGGTGACATTATTTGCTCCTGTTCCCACATACTTAGTCCGATCGTGCTGAAATTTGAATCACTAATGTGTGATCTCAGTCTGAATATAATACACTATAAAACATATGAAACGTGAACACTATAGCGCCCCCTACCGTATACATGAAATGTCAACATTGTCGGATCTGCACCAAATTTGGCAATTAAATTCTATATATGATTACGAGTAAAAAAGTATATTATGGCCATGTTAAAATTTTCACTGTTGGCCAGCAGGGGCGCAAATACTCAACAATTTTGCGCCTATGGGAGACGTCCCGGTCAACTTTGTTCTAGAGCCATGAAATTCGGTACACACATTCATCATGTCAAGACAAACAAAAAATGTTATTATGGCCACGCCCCCTGACAAACCAGAAGGCGGCCATCTTGGATTGAAAATTCAGTCCGCGTTTTCGCTGACGTTGCATTTGAACGAACTCCTCTGAAGGCGCTTCACCCACAGGCCTGAAAATCACCGTACATCATCTAGACAAGTGGAACATCTAAAGTTAGCTGATTTTTTTTGATAACTGTCACGGTTTACGTGCAGCGAAGCTGCAAAATATGGTCAAAGTTTTGGCGAATTTCAAAGTGACATTATTTGCTCCTGTTCGCACAGACTTAGTCCGATCGTGCTGAAATTTGAATCACTAATGTGTGATCTCAGTCTGAATATAATACACTATAAAACATATGAAAAGTGAACACTATAGCGCCCCCTACCATCGACATGAAACCTCAACATTATCAGATCTGCACCAAATTTGGGAATTAAATTCTATGCATAATTACGAGCAAAAAAGTAGATTATGAACATGGCGAATTTTTTACCGTTGGCCAGCAGGGGCGCTAAAACTCCTCCCAAAAATAGAAAAAAATATATTACACGCACATGCTTAGTCCCATCATGCTGAAATTTGAATCACTAATGTGTGATCTCAGTCCGAATATAATACACTATAAACCATATGAAAAGTGAACACTATAGCGCCCCCTACCATAGACATGAAATGTCAATATTGTCGGATCTGCACCAAATTTGGGAATTAAATTCTATTAATGAGTAGAAGAAAAAACATATATTGCTGACATGGGAATTTTTCAAGGTTGGCCAGTAGGGGGTGCAAAGAACATTTAAAGGCGCACTATGTCATTTGGCCATTTGCAGGCACAGAGTTTGCGGACACGGCGTTTACGGTATGGTGTTGGCGGGGCACACTATTTGCCGGCACGCTTGCGGCTTTTTTTTTTTTCTTTTTGTTGTTTCTTTTTTTTTTTTTTGTCCATTTCTCATTCCTCTCCCGCTGCCCTCCTCCCTTCATGGTGCACCCGTAATTGCTGCAGTGCCTTTGGACATAATAGACTGGCCTTGCGATGGATATGCCAAATGTTTGTGTCTCCTCCACAGGGTCAGCTGCAAATCGAAAACGGAGCACTTTCTATTACAGCGCTCAACCTGTCCGACTCGGGCATGTATCAGTGTGTGGCCGAAAACAAGCACGGCATTATCTATTCCAGCGCACAGCTAATGGTGCAAGGTAAGACGGACAAAACGTTTTAATAAATAATAAAAATGCATGTTAATGGTGCTCTGTGTAACGTTTGTAGAGGAGGATCCACCACCCGCTGTCTTCATGGAAATGTTATTGCTTTTCTAAGATGTTCCTCAGAATAAACTAAACCTACCAACCACAAAGGTTTCAGCACTACGCTACATTACAATTCAGATCTGTGGAGAGTCACCCCATTCACAGAAGAAGTTATTGTATTTTTGAGCAATAGAAACATCAGCAATGAATAAATGCCAGATTGAAATGTTTAAGGTCATAGCGTGCAACAGACATCTCCATGAAGACAAGCAGGTGGCTGATCCTCCACAAGAAAAGTTGTGCAGTGCATCTTTAAGAAAAACTGATCTATTGATTTTTTTTAAAAGGCCATATGTTAAGTCTAATAATATCAATAATATTATATGCATCTAACCACATTAGCCTTGGCTATAAATGTTACATATTATGTTATGTTATGTTATGTTATTATATTACATGTCTAATAATCTGGATGTGTGTGTTAGCATGCTAGTTGTTACTGTCTTTCTCATCACGATTAATCAACTAATCGTGACTTGTTAAGTATTAAAAATAATCAATTGTTATGTGGATTATACAAGCGCTACAATAAATACAAAAGTCATTATAACAAAGACATTATTAAATCAAAATGTCAAACATTAGCAAACATTTTCAGATTTTTCAATCATGTATTTTATCTGTTTTATAAATAATCTGTTTTATAGCCATAGTTCAACATTTATTTGATAAAAAATGATAATAGAAATAATCACTAGTTGACTAGTCAAAAAATGAACTATTGACTAGTCCACCAAAATTCATTAGTTGCAGACACATTAGTTTAGACATGAGTTCAATGTCTGGCTTTAATCTTGGCTTCTTTGTGCAGATGTTGATCAATAATAGTGGTCTTTCTATAAGTCTCCTTAGGGCTCTCATCTCTTGTGGTGTTTATAAGGACTTGGCCAGCAAAAAAGATCACATTTTATCATTTCATCACATTGATTGGGGAATGCATGTGTATAGCTTTGTGGCATTGTGCATTGGTTCCTTGTGTAGAAGGACTATTGATTAATTTGAAATGCTTCGACGGCTCTTACCAAACTCTCTAAATGAGAATTCAGGTGTGATTTATGCAATGACACTGAAGGTTCAAAAAGTCAATATAATATATGCCTGTACATGTAAACATTTCATAATCCAGCTGGTTAGTTTTAATGCAGTTATCTAAGTTCTTCAGTCAAAAAACAAACTGTTACTGTACTCAGAATGTTTTCAAGTACACCATGTTCTCTTGTTTGTTTTATTTTTTTGTTCCAAAAAACAAATAGTCTTCAGTCTATCTCAATTTCAAGGAGACAATTTGCAAACTGATGCAAATTTCCATCTCGCTGATGTTAATAGGCCAGATGAGTCATGTTAGTCAAATATATTTATTAATGGCTGGATACTATGTTCTTACACTGCACTTTCAATTTGCAACATATAAGCATAAGCATGCTTTGACTTTACCCAGGCTACTTGAGCTTAGTTTAGTGATCACTATATATATATATATATATATATATATATATATATATATATATATATATATATATATATATATATATTTGTGTCCTTTCATATTTGAGCACTGTGTTGTTATGCAATCATTGACACTACACTGAATGAACACTGAAGGAGTGCTAGTATTGGTGTGTATTGCTCTACAGTGCGTTTTGCGTTTAACACTTGTCTCTTGTCTCCCGCTGCGCAGCCTCGCCTCCCACTTTCTCCAAGAGCCCATTGAGGGCCCTGTTGAAAGCCCGCTCAGGCAGCACAGTCACTCTGGAATGCAAGCCCCAGGCCGCACCCCCGGCAATTAGCCTGTGGAAGAAAGGCAGTGAGATCCTGCAGCGGAGCGAGAGGTGGGACACGTCTCGGTGCATATTCCACATAGATTTCATTCACATTTGCAGCCACAGAACTGTTTGAATAGCACATTTGGCATTTGTGCACATGCATAAAGAGAAAGACTAATGAACATATTAAAAACGCAAGGCAGCACCCGCCGAGTAAGTGGCACATTACTAATACACAACAGTGGGAGGAAAATAGTTTGCTGTTCAGAGTGTAGAAAACCATGCAATTTGTCTTTTTTTTTTTTCCCAAAATGTGATGATGCTATTGTGGCTTACATTCTATTGTTTTGTTTTTTCAGGGGAGGGGGGGATCAGTAGATCAGAGTAAAAAAAACAACAACAGAAACACAAACAAACAAACAAACACAATATGTCATGACAAAACATGGCTATAATGTGAGTACATGAAATGCCTAAAGATATTTATGAATACAATATCATTGTTTTCCTGTTAAAATGGCCATTCAGTTAGTGCTGGAAATATGTGAATGGGCAGATCTGTTAGTAAAATATGCGAGATTACCTTGTGCAGCAGGATGAATTCTTGTAATATTTGCTCACACACAGAGCTCAATTCAGACTGCTCCAATTATCAGTCTAGCATCTGGCAGGTTGAATATTCCTTTTTTTTCATGAAATTTGTAAATAGCCTTGTACAATGTTGCCAGATGAGACTAAACAAAGTACAAAAAGATTGAATGCCTTATTTTACAGAACTGTCATGCTTTTTGTCAACCATGATTTCATAACCCACCTAACTATCCATGCAATGTATAAATTTTTTTACAAACATCAAAGAAACTCAGTTTGAGTGTTGGTCCCATATCCACTGTGTCTGCATGTAAAATGAAGAAGATATTTAAACTGTAAACAAATGCATTTTCCAGCAGCAGCTATTAGAAGTGTACTTAATAGTGAAATAAAATAGAGCTTGATTTGTTCACTAGCGCCTGCCGGCACAAAGGAGGCACGGAAAATTGAAAGAGCCATGACTCTGAGAAACAATATGCAGACACCTCAGACATGAGCAAACTGGAAGCACCTCTTCTAATGACAATATTGGAGCTTCATTGACTTGTTTGTCTTTCTTATTCTGATTTGAGTGATTTTGATTTGGACTATTTTTGATGTTGGATGCTTGGACAGTGGTTAGCCATGGCATTTCTCAGTGTTTACTTTGTGTTAAAAACAAAGAACACATATCCACACTGGGAACAGTGTGTTGCAGCAAAGCCATGCACATGGAGCAGATTTAATGTAGTTAGACCTCAGCCATCAGTCCTTGAAATGGCCTTCCACGATTTTAATTTCAAGGCACTTTGTTTACACACTCCACATAAGCTGGGATATTATTCCACAGTATTACATATAAAAAATAATAACACTGAATTGCAAGAAAGATTTGGTTTTGGTTTCAAATAAAGACGGTGAATAACCAATTTACAGTGCGGAAAGATGCACCAAAACTACTCTAGTCAAAAAATGAAGGAGAGGATGCCATAATTACTTTTACATTTATCACAGATTTAAATCAAATCTAATCAGTGAAAGTAGTAATACTGTAAACCATCCAAAATGCAAACAAATTTAACATTGCTTATATCTCGGAAACACAAATAAGTCTAAATGGTGGTTATTACTGTAGACTCGGAGCCGTCTCCCTGTTGGAGGTCAGAGTCTGCTGCTGTATGAAAGGGTTTAATGTGCTGGGCTTTTAGTAAACATTTAGAGAGCGCGAGGTGTTCCCAGCATGACACAGCTCCTCTCTGACCTCCACAATGCAAAGTCAGTATAATGCACATTTTATTTATTCATTGTGTTATGTGTGATGCTGTTTGTGAAATGTCCCATGGTTAGCCCCACTGATTAAGGCGATAGGTCAGCCTCTCTGCTCCCAGCCCGCTTAAAATGAAGTCGTGTTATGGACTGCTGCGCTAAATGCATTTATCACATGTTTTCTTTTTACTTTGCACATTAACCCTTTTTTTATGATTGGTGTTTCTTATTCTCTTCACACAAAACTAGAATTATGGATAACACGTAATAATATCCAGCCATTTTCTTCTGCTTAAATAGACCTTAATTAGCCTTAATAAAACATGAAGAGAGAGACTTACTTCATAATGAACACAAAGCTTATTAAGAGATTCACGCTTATCACCTAACCCTGGGTCTTAATTCTAACCAAATGGACAGATACAGTAGTAAAAAAACAATATGTGTAGCAGGATCAATTTTTGTGATATTTGTGAGTTAATAAAAGTTAATAAAGCCTGACAAGAATGAGTGGGACCAGCTGTTGAATATTTCTTGTTTCTTCTGGTGAATTCATTTTTAAGTCTGCGCAGAGCTACACATTGTATTCTTAATTATTAACGCAAGAATTTAAGGATCTGACTATTAATGGAAGGCAATAAAAGGTCCTCTACTGTAATAAGATACAAACTAATTAAAGGCAATTTCTTTTAAATGTTAACCTTAAAGTAACCTTCACTGTGATAAGATCTTATTTACTTAGTTTTGCTGCTTATTTATTTTATTTTTACTTTAACCTAATGATGGTCCTGATTTAAACTACACTTGTGCAGTATTTTCTTTGCCCAAATGGTGTTCTTGCTAGATTTGAAAGCCCTTTATTATTTATACATAGATTACAAGTATTATAATTCTGTATGTTTTTGTTTTGTTTGTTTAGAATCACACTGTTGCCCAATGGAACTCTGCAGATTGCCAATGTAACGAAGCAGGACGCAGGAAGCTACACGTGTATCGCAAAGAACCAGTTTGGAACGGCCAGCACAACAGGGAAGCTCATTATAACAGGTGAGTCCTTTAAACTACTCTGGTATTGTATTGTCTTGTATGTAGTAGTCAGTGTTGGGAAGGTGACTTTTAAAATGTATTCCCCTACAGATTACAGATTACATACCCCAAAATGTAGTTTGTAATGTAATCCATTAAATTACTTAAAGTGAGTAACGTTTTTTTTTTAAACTACATGAATGTAACAACCACATCCTGAAAATTCTTGTTTGTTCTCTTCAAATTGTCTGTTCAGTCCAAGTCTCCATGAACAGACTTTTGTTTGCTGTAAAGTAGCAAAGACCAGAATCTTAACATGAGATGTTTTGTCTGATAAAAGAAAATAAAAAGCCCAGACTTTACATAACCACATTCAAAATATTAATGATAGAGAAATAATTTTTATATGAGATCACTGCTGCCTTCAATTATGTCCACCTACTGTTAAGTGTCATGTTGTTTAGACCTGGTTTAGTCCTGGTTTAGATCTGGTTTAGATCTGGTTTAGACCTGGTTTAGATCTGGTTTAGATCTGGTTTAGACCTGGTTTGGACCTGGTTTAGTCCTGGTTTAGTCCCGGTTTCGTCCTGGTTTAGACCTGGTTTAGACATGGTTTAAATCTGGTTTAGACCTGGTTTAGACATGGTTTAGTCCTGGTTTAGTCCTGGTTAAGACCTGGTTTAGACCTGGTTTAGTCCTGGTTTACACCTGGTTTAAATCTGGTTTAATCCCGGTTTAGTCCCAGTTTAGACCTGGTTTAGATCTGGTTTAGTCCTTGTTTAGACCTGGTTTATCCTGGTTTAGCCCAAAATGTGAAAACAGGAAAATAACGCCATGTAATCCAAATATTTCAACAAAGTAACTGTAATCCAATTACCACTCATTGAAACAGTAACTGTAACTGAATACAGTTACTCATAATTTGTACTCTGATTACATAATGCAAGTACATGTAATCTGTTACTCCCCAACACAGTAGTAGTTGTAGTTTATCTTCTTCGGTCAATTAACATAATCGTGCATCATATAACAATGATTTAACAAAACAAAACAAAAAACAAAAAAAAACACAAAACAAAACTAATTATGCAGTTAGTACATATAAATAAAGTTACTCTGTAGACTGAAGTGGTTTAGGCTGAAGTTTAACACTTGTTTTGCCAAACCCTATTAACATATAGAACAGGATACGAGATGGCAGAACTATTTACAGAAAACAACGACAAAAAATCCTCTTTTATGAGAGCAGGAAAGAAAATGTCCTAAATGTTATAGTGTACACTTACACAATACAGAACACAATCCAAATATATGTTAATGTTCATACACACACACACACACACACACACACACACACAGACCCTGTACATGTTCATTTTTATACCTATTGGTTTATATTATACTCTTAAATATATAAGTATAATTGGGGGTTACAGTTAATCTGTAGATTTGATGGGGTGAAATATGATTTATTGTATTTCTCTATATTTCTCTATAATTTTAGTTTTATATTTTTTTAAATATGTAAATTGGTTTAGAGCCTTTTAAAGTTTCATCGAGACTATTCCACAGATGAACTCCTCTGATGGAGACAGCCACTTTTCAGGCTGCTCCTCACATGAGCTTTCTGAGTCTCGATCTTCTCACATTGTCCTCACTCTCTCTGAGTTTGAACATCTCTTGGATACTCTGAGGGAGCAGATTGTTATGTGCCTTAAACATGACAACTGCAGTATTTAGATCAATGAGATCATGTCATTTTAATGTATTTAGTTTAATAAACAGAGCATTTGTTGCGGCATAGTAATCAGCATTATTTATGATTCTAATAGCTTTCTTTTGCACTAAGAAAATTGACTTGATGTTTGTTTTATAATTATTCCCCCATATTTCCACACGTATGTACTGTTTATATAACTGCTGTATGTTGTAAACTCTCTAAAAAGTATAATTAGCCTGCTCTTAAAGGTCCTATATTACGCAAAATTGACTCTTGAGCTTTAAACCATGTCATAATGTTGTTACCTCATCAAAAACATACTCATAGTTGTGTTTTATTTCATTTACACATGTTTGAGTAATCCTTTATTATTAGTCTGTCAACAACTCCAAACCTCAAATGCTCACTGTATGATGTCATGAAGTGGTAGTTTTCAAATTATCACTTACCTTTTCCATTTAGTTTAGCAGAGACTGTCATTTTTTTGGGTCACCTTGTCACGATCTGCATGTAGATCAGCAGTATACAGTTCTGACGCAGGAGGTTTTTTGTTCTCGCTAAAACACACAGAAACAGACTGAAACTGTGCTACAAAAACGCAGACTTGCCCACCTATCGCTATGTTTTGTATAATTTCTAATCTTTTTGTAATTATTTTATTGACTATTTTGTTCCAGTATTGCTGGTTCAACTGAATGTTGAAAAAAAAGAAAAAAAGAAATGGGCTACATTTAATCCAAATAGGCGACTTATGGATACTTTTATTGCTGTTTTTCATTGTTTAAAACTTGAGTAATACTAATTGTTCAGAGAGACATGATCACTCAGTCAACAATAAAATATCTTCATTAATGTTCAATCATTTTATTTTGTGATTTATGAATAATGTCTATTGACTTGGGTCACTGAGGTTTGTGACTTTTATAATAAAACACACTGGAACACTTCCTGTATTACAACATGACATCACGAGGTGGAGCAGAGTGTGTTCTGTTTGAGAGAACAGAACTCAGCCTAAATATGACGGGGTTGTGTGTTAAACATGTGGGAATGAAACAAAACACAACTCCAGGTCTGTTTCTGTTTTTGATGAGGAAACAACATCAGGAAGTAGAGTAATATGTGCGCTTTAAATTAAACACTCACACACATACACAGCTGCTCTGAAGTCATCAAAGCTTTCTTGTTTTGATTTTGTGTGTTTGTTTTACCCAATTTGACTCTGTTTGAGTTTATTAGTGTACCTCCATTCTTCATAAATATAAGTCTTAATATAGTATGTCTGTGTCGTCCAGTATCCAGGGTGGAACATTCTAACATTATCATTATTATTAAAATATCACAGAAGAATAACACACTAAGTAAAACACCAGCTGGTTTTTCTAATATTTGAAACTGATTTCATTCAACTATGTTCTATTTAGTAGCAGCATCCGTCTTATTTCCATATTTGTACTTAATGACTAAACAGTTTGCAGTAATGTCCACTCTTGCTTTGTTGCATTTTGCACTGAGTAGCTTTTAAGCCCAAGCAAAAGAAAACACAGGAACATTATCTTTGATTTGTGTGTATATTTTGTGTGTAGTTTGTACATTGTCTGTGTTGTGTGTCCGTCTGACTTATTCTTTCTCATTAGCCCCCATTCGTTTGTGCACTGACAGCTCGGGCCATTTAACGTCACTTATTTAATTACTATGACCTTTCCCCATCGCACACCAAGTGATTCCAGCCCACAGTCACCACCGTCTACACTTAAACTGGTTATGTCATAAAGTAAATGATAGCTTGGGAATTAATTAATGACATACAGTAACTATAAGATCTCATGCCACAATATCTCACGAGGCAAAATTGCCACGAAATTGCACGTACAGAAACGTGAGCTTGTGAGATTTTGTGTTTATGTTTGGATTGTACCACAACATGCACCAAAATATTAAATCAAATACATATACAATGTGAGGTCAAATTTTATAAGTGAATTGCAAACTTTATATTTTAAAACTATGTTAAATTAAACTATCTTGTCCCATTTTCATGGACCAAATTCTCATTGAATTTTATTACAGTAAACAAAATAATAACATCTCCAACAAGATGAGCAAGTGGCCAGGAAGGTTACATAGTGCAGCTTTAAGTTACTGTGGGACTTAGGTAATAACGTGAAGCTCCTCATTACTGCACATGCACCATGGCTTCACTTGCGCCCCTGGTAGTTAGCAGGGAGTGGGATTAAGTTGGAGTGGGCTGAGGGTTACAGAGGTCAGCCCCGAGCTTAAGGTTCCTGTGGTGTGATGAATTAACATGCAAAGTGTGTTGGGTCTGGTCTGTTCCAGAGCCGACCAGGATCACCATGAGGCCCACTAACACAGAGATCATCGTTGGCGAGAGCATCGTGCTGCCGTGCCAGATCTCCTGTGATCCTGCATTGGACATCTCCTTCTCGTGGGCATTCAATGGGCAGCTCATCGACTTCCAACAAGACAGTGACCATTTTGAGCGCGTTGGCGGGGTGAGTCATCTCCAAACAATAAACTGTGCAGATTTGGTCGTGCATTCTGAGATTAATTGGGACACACTATGTAATGTGAGTTGGGATTCTCACATGCCCTAAGAAGATAAGGCTCACCCTTTTTGCAGCCTCAATTTAGAATTTTTCAAAGAAGCTGAAAGAAGTTTAAACGTAAACTGTATAATGAAAGTCACTACACGGTTAGAGAGTTTCCAAGTTTTTATAATGCAAATCTAAACAATATTGAGTTAATAATGACCATAGTTTTTTGGTGTAAAATCTAACCAAACTTAACCAGATACAAATTTCAGTAACCAATGTGCAACAAACAATATGTTACATTTCAAGATTTCCCCTTTACTTCATTATTAAACTAGTGGCCTTTAATCTCTCTGTGTTAATTAAAAGTATACACATTCAGAATAACATTCAGAAATCATGCACAGAAAAGTAATTGGCTGCTTTAACCAAGGGCAGCCCTGGCACAGCTAAATGTTTGAATTTCAAATGGCTCCTTTGAAATAATGATAAGTGATGAGTCTTTGTTAAATATTTGTAGTCAAACATTGAGAACTAAAATGTAGTTCATGTTACACGTCCAAGGTTAATGCTACTATGAATGCCATTCATGCATGAATCTGCCCAGTCTTTGAATAGTACGCCTATGTCAGACCTGTGTCTTCCTGCATGCAAATGGAGATGACTAATGACATTGAAATGTGAATATAATGAGCTATAGTATTAGTCTGTTATTGCTGTCCGCGGAGATTACCCAGCCCCTACTCAACAGCTTCTTATGAATTGATTAACATAATTAAAGCAAAACCACCTCATCACTTCCCATGTGCCAGGGCAGGTTGGCATCTTATAAATGTTGTGCGCTCGGACAGGCCAGGTGGTGTCTGCTGGCCAAGTTGTATGGAAAAAAAAAACTGGAGGGGACATGAAACCGTGAGCAAGGGGAGGTTGTAGCATGCTGTAAGGCTTTGGTTAAGTGGCATTTGTCCAGACTGTGTGGGCTCAGGTGCTTGGGACACATCCACAGGCAGACCACAGTCAGACCACAGTCAGCCGGGGCTATGATCACTGGGTCCTGATGAGATCTGCTCTGACTGCTGCAGCTCCAGGTCACTCTTTAGCTCCTCACAGGCTCACAGACTGTGTGACAGAAGGCTTGGCGGGTCTCAACCTGGAGACTAAATGTATCTGTGGGGGTAGAATTCAAATGCACCAAAACGTGCATTGAGATTCAGAATTGTTTATGTGATATAAATCTGCTCTTGTTATTGTGGCAGTGGCATAAACTAGTTTCAGTTTTCTGGTTTATCGTCTATATTTTCTTAAACAATATATTAAATAAATATGTTATTGTGACAGGCTTATGTTTTGATTGCACCTTTTTCAATGTTAGATGTGTGGCTTTATTTCTTTTTACTTTAGCAATTGGTATATCTGTTTTTTTTCTGCTGAATTTATTCCATAAGTGACCATTTCATGTACACAATACTTTATCAAAACAGTGACACCAATCACTGATTTGCCCAAAGCCTCATTTTAGTGAATTAAACAGTTTGTCATCTGCATTTACAATGGACAGAGTTAAAACACAAGTTGTCACTAAAGTGTTTTTTGTGTTTATATGGTGTCCTCATTTAATATGAAATGAAATGCTTTGATATTTGTGATGATAGCACATTTTCAGTGGTTAGTCTTGCGATTTGCCATTTAAAAATCTCAACACTGCAAAAATGAACCCCTTAAACGTTTCACACATTCATGGTTCTGTGGAGAGGATTGGTAAGCAATATTTTGTTCTGTGCAGAAATGTGCTATACAATTCTCAGCCTAATTGGATCTTGTTAGCCATCGGATCCCATCTGCCGTCACTCTCTCTCAGATGTTGAATATGATCCACTTTGAGATCCTGAGTGTATTTCATGTCACTGTTTCTGCTGCGGTGTGTTTGCCCCTCTGTAAGGAAGGAGATGAGGTTACTTTTCTGTTGCAGCAAAGCACAAAATGAATATGCCTAAATTTAATCTGGTTTTGGTATAATGCATTGTTATGCTTTAGAAAATGGAAAACAAAACAGCTGGCTTTTTGTTCATTGAAGAAAGGATTGCTAAATAGATTTAATTTTAATTATATTACTCCAAATATATCTGTTTGATAATCTCAGTTCAGTTCAATCAGTTGCTTTGATATACAGAAATTCTCCAGTAGCTCTTGTGTGGTTTCATGGGATATGTATTGTAAGCACACCTTTTACGCTGTTTAATTTAGCTGAGGATGAGAATGGTTAGCACTTCTGTTTCTAAAAAGAAAAAACACTGTGAAGTTGACACGTCACTGAATGATTTGCATGTTTTCTCAAAAGACCTGTTTGTTTTAGGTGAAGTAGTCGCCCCAAATTGAATGCATATAGGACTTTTCTGTGGGGGTGTTTGTCCGGTCAAGACCCAAAGTTCTTCCAATCTTATAAATGTTAAAGGATACAGGATACCCTTTTTTGAGCATGTAGCAGTTGTGTAGGCCAGGGATGGGTGATATCAGTTTCAGTATCAGTCTATATCAAATTTTTGGTGCTGCCCCATTCTCTCTGTTTTCTTTCTGAACAATGAGTTGAAATGGAAATAGAAAAGCATTGTAATGTAATGTGTAATATTGGATATCGGTATTGGCTCAAAAAATCAATATCTATATCCATATCCATATTTTAAAATGCATAGACAATCATAATGAAATATGGATTATAATAAAGAACAAATCCAAAAAAGAAATAAAGAATAATAAAGTATGTTCAAAAGGGAGTAGAAAGAAGGCAAAACTTATTTTGAAAAGTTAGAAGACAAACCCTCCTCAGCGTTATAAAATGTTAATCTCTGTATGTGCACATAGTATATTAATAATGTGTCCTTTAAAATGCAAGTGCCGAGGATTAGAGTGAAAAATTCAATATTAACATCCCTTTATCCCACTAAAATAAACATCTTTAAGCAGATTAGTGCAGATCCAGTGTTTGTGGCTGTGCTGTTGCCTTGCTCTTGGCCATCCCGCTCATTCTGCTTCTGTAAAATCATATTTGCACTTTTCACCCACAGTCCTGCTCCTGTCTTGCCGGAGCTTATGTTATTACTGAATAATTATGTGGGTGCTGCCAATTAGAGGCAGACTGTTTGTGCTGTGCTGCGATGTGGAGCTGGTGGCTGTTTGTTGGTGGCGGGTGGGCTCGCGCCGGAGGGACAGCCAACTGCAGTATCTGTGCGAGTACATCTGCCACGTCTGCTGCAGTCTTTGTAAAGAGGAACAGATCAGTGGCCTGGAGATGCTGCCATTGTGCAGAGTATAAGAATACACACAACGCTGTAGCTGAGAGCGAGACACACAAAAGACTAGAGTGGAGGAAACATGTTTAAGGATTTGAGAAAATACTATTGTGCAGTGGAGCTCACACTGACGGTTTGACTCCCACTGAGAGTTGCAGGTCTCATGGGAGGAGTGGAAGTCTACTGCAGCAAGACCTGATTTTGATACTAAAGGAGACATATTGTGCTTTAATTGATAGGCCCTGCTTCTTTATGGTTGCATTTCACTAAACTGAACTTGAATGTGTTTTTATAGTTTAAGTATGGCTGAAGAACATTAAGTATAAGTATACAAGTATAAATGTATGCACCGGAGTGTTAATTGTTTTAGTAAATGCAAATTGGTATAGCAGTAGTATAGTGAGTGGCAATATTTACTTATACTTCTGAACTACTGGTTAAAATCTCAAGTAAGTAAACTTACCATAATATTTCCCCTATAGGGATGGGCAATATGACCAGAGACGGTTAGGCTTTCAAACAAGGGAAGATTTACATCTACATGAAATTATCATATCCTAAGAAAATTACATTTATTTGTGGTATTTACGTATGAATTTTAATGTTTACAGTGTTAGTTGTTTAATTGCACAATAACTTTTTTTTGGATGTAAGAAAGCCATACTTGATTTCACAATTTTATAATTTTTCATAATATTGATTAATTAATTTGTTTGATTAACTGCCCTGCCCTAGTCTTTTGGTTTTGACTTAGACTCATGATTAAATGGTGTGATCCTGGTTTAAAAACAAACCTTTTCAGTCACCATTCAAACTCAAGATTTCAGTGTAGTTATAAACACAAGGTTTAGGAAACAGTACATTTTATGAAACTGAGTTACGCTGCTTCAGTATTACTGTAATTGGTGATGTATTTGATGGTAGCACACACTGTTTCATTTGTATGTATTTATACTGACCTATTGGCAGGGGGGTTATTTAGATCAGTATCTTGGAGAATCCATCACTGTGCAAACTCTCAGAAATATCCACATCACTGCCGCGAGTAACAAAAAGAAAAACTTAGCAGGTTGACTCACTGCGGGCCTGATCTCCTTTCAGAGCATATCAGGAGACCTGATGATTCGGAACATCCAGCTGAACCACGGGGGGAAGTACGTGTGCCTCATTGACACAGATGTTGACAGCCTGTCCACCTCTGCCATCCTGGTTGTCAAAGGTAGGAGAACTGTTTGATTTCATGGGCTCGTGCTGTGTGGACTGTATGAATAAAACAGAGAGGTGTCAGTGCCCTGCTCTGCCAGAGAAGTTACTCACATTTACAGAGAGAGCTCTTGCTGTCCTCCTGCAGGGAAAGTGGAGTCATATTCTTAGGGCTGTAGGTTCTTGTAGTCGATGGTCTCTTTTTTATTACTTTTTTATTAGTCAACTATTTTTTTATTATCTACGGGACAAAAACAGAAAGGAAAGAAATGGAGTAAGTTGAGCTGATAATTTGATTTGAGAGTGAAATTAAAATACAGTTAACTAGTAGTTGTTTTTATAAATAGTTGTTTTTGCCTGAACTCATATGAGATTCTTGTGAGTAGGAACGCACCGATCCAGCTTTCTCAGTTCCAATACTGATTCCGATATTATAACTTTAAGTATTTGCCGATATCCAATATCAACTGATACTAATGTACAGACTGAAAATATAATTTATTTCTTTTAAACTGTTTTTTATCTCTCAAGTAACTACAGTATACAACTTTTTATTAATAAAAAATAAATAAAAATAGTGCTGTCAGGTGATTTAAAAAATGGAGAGATTAATCTCTTTTTAATCTCACCTAAAAATTGCTGAGAAAAGCCTCAACTTGATGTATGTTCATTTAAATTCATTATTACATTATTGTGGTAGAAAAGACTGACATAGAACAAAAAAAAGTGACTTTATAGTCATTTATTGTTTAACAAACTTTAACAGATGCAGTCACTTACATTCCACAGTATCATCATTATTATTACTATTACTAATCTGCATAAATAAACTCAACTTTACAACAAATAAACCATAACCACTCTAGAGCCACATCAGCTGTTTGAAATTATAATGTGTTTAATTCAGATTTGCACAAGTCTCACAGAAACGAAACTTAAAGACCGCATGGCTCATTTGCATAAACTAAGTGAGAAAAAAATAAATAAAATGCTCTTGGGCACTGATGCGGTTCAGCTTCTGTGGGACTAATTAACAATTAACGTGATAATTTGACACCCCTAAAACAAATATGAGATTTTCTGGGCCAACTACACCCCATAAATTGTCAATCAATATGTCCAACAAAGATATTGACTGAACCAATACTTGGAAACTGATATCAGATCTTGAAATTGTTTCAGTATCAGCATCGATATGTGGTGCCAGTATAAGATCGGTGCATTCCTACTTGTGAGTTCAGTTTGCGTCAGATACACAGAGATACACAATAGTTTAGTTTTAATCTTTAGTTTAAAGATTCTACATCTAAGTCATCAGCTCATGTTTACATTAGGTGTCGGAGGAGCATGCACATGCACTGATGCTTGATAGTGTGGTTGATGAGGGAGTCATGTGCTTCCCAGTTTGTCTCTGGTGATTTACATTGGTATTCATGCCCTTAACAAAGTGTAATAGCTGTCCCAGGTGCTACACCAAGGCAATGTTTATCACAGAAAATGGCTGTAATTGGCTCATTTACACTTGGGCAAAATATCACGGAAAACATTTGAATAATGGTGCAGCGGACCAGACAATAGCACTAGCACAGAGCCTCATTTCTTTCTATTGAATTTGTTCTCTCCTCGTCTTGTAAATGATCCTAACTCACTTTGAATGAGAGAATAAAATACATCAAGGATAGGGCTTTAAAGAAATAGAATAGATGGTGCATATTCAGCAGCAAGGTGACATATCGGAAACTGTGTATTCTTGTGCTGCCCCTAGGTCCTCCTGGCCCTCCCGATAAAGTATCAGTGGAGGAGATCACGGACAGCACAGCCCAACTCTCCTGGACTGCAGGCAGAGACAACGGCAGTCCCATTACCGGCTACTCCATCCAGGCCCGCACCCCCTTCACTGTGGGCTGGCAGGCTGTCGATACAGGTAACACGCCAGTCAAGCAAAGTTTAAAGATTTTACAGCAAGTGTTGTCTAATCTTGTCTGCAGTCTGGTAGTTTTGTTTTAAAAATAAAGACTGTTTATTACTCTTACTCAAGCGAGGGCCGTTAAGCTCTGCCGATTTATTTTTTTAAAAATTTGGGGGCAGATTTAGTAAATTTTCCCTAAATTATGTGATTTAAATTGATTACAAATACCCCCTCAAGCCTTTAGTTTAACCTATAGAGAGAGTTGTTTATTGGCCAATTTATCGATCTATCTCTAACCCACACAATCAAACAGCCCAGTGCCCAATGAGTATACACTTGAAGACTCAAATATGATAACTGAACATAGATTTTCAAATACAAGATGAATGATACTGAACATGTTAGATCACACTAATTTGTCTGTAAGTAATAACCTACAATATAATACATAACATTTAGCCTTTTATTTTATATGTATATAACATACAAAGAACCGTCGTCATAGTTACCTTCTTATAGGTCAGGCGTTGTCATGACAGGTATGACATATCCTTCAGTCCTGTGGTGCCGTAGTATGTGTGACTCACTGTGCTGTCCCTGTCCCAGTGCCAGAGATCATCAACGGGAACATGCTGACAGCCACAGTGGTGGACCTGAACGCCTGGGTGGAGTATGAGTTCAGGGTGGTGGCCCGCAATGCTGTCGGACTAGGAGAGCCCAGCCCCCCCTCAGCCAAAACCAGGACAGAGGATGCAAGTACGCAGTGTTTAGGTTCTATTGCACTAACTAGAGCAAAGCTGGAAGTGGTATAGTCCATAAAGTCTATTGTTATTCAACCACTTGTTTTTCACTTTCTTAAAGCAGTGCTCCAATTACTGAAAAATATTTGTGTTATGAAGTAATATCTGCATAACATGTTTTTAGATTTGTGTATTAATAGGCTCCCCAGTTAAGCAGTACAATGCATTAGACCTGCTTATTATAATTTGACTTGGTGCAAAGCATTTATTCTCTTACTCTTTTAACAAACACAAAGGAGTCAGTATTCCTCTTAAAATTATAATACTTTCTCTTCAGTGGCTGAAAATTTTAATATAATAAAGGGGAATTTTCAAATCAGTGAAAATGGCTTTGAAATGGATGAAATAATTATTTTAAGAAGCCAGCCAAGCCAAGGCTTCATTAATATTCCGAGTTAAAATGTGTATTTTTTATTTTTTTTACTTTTGTCAGTTGGTGGTGGCTCATCTTTGTTACTATCTTATAGAGAAATAATCATGGGGTAGAAAAAGAAGGAAGTCTCCGAAATGATTATAATGCTGCTAGAAAACTATCACAATGCTTGTTTATGCACAGCCACATCAGTCTTTTAGATTTGGCTGTGTGGAGGGGTGGCAGTGTTAGCGTAGCTGCTGTGCTTGGGACTAACAGAGGTTTGTGGTTGGCTCTGTAAACTGCTTTGTAATTGCTCCCTTCTGGGCTCTGCCTCTCAGTTCCAGATACAGCTCCCACTGATGTCGGAGGTGGAGGCGGCACCAAGTCGGAATTAGTGATAACATGGGAGGTAAGTCATCTGTCACATTTTACTGCTGTCTCTATCGCCCAGTAATGGTTTTGCTTAATTGTGCAGAATTGAGCGGAGCAATTTTATGACCCACATTAGGGCGAGATACCTCTCTTTGCCTCGGCTCTGCAGCACGCTGCCATTTTTCAGGCCAAGTGCAGGGACAGAGAGCACTTATTCTCACAGTTCACCAACCACAGATACACACTACTCTGTATATGCACTTCATAGAGCCATAATCTGGCAAGCTCCAGGAGTGCTCCAATGCAAACATTTTACATTTACACCAGTGAGTCAGTATGAACCATCTGCTACATGTAAGCCCCACTATTTGTTATTATTTACTAATTGACACATTTAGAGTTATTGCTTACACACTATGTAATTGTAAATACCATATTATGCATATATGCGTTTTAAAACAGCACAAAGTGGCATGGTTATGCTCCTGGTGATAGATGAAATCCTCAGGGACTCCAGATGGAAACTAGCTATTTACCAGTAATTTTGTGCAGAACATCTCTGACACTCTATTCATGAAACTCTTTCCCTTTAATAAAATGCTCTATTATATACATATATATATATATTTAAGTCTGACATAACAAAACAATCTTACATTGATAAAACAACTTGCAATTAATCATACATGATTCATGAACATGGTGATTTAATTTTGTAAATGCTGCAATTTTTTGCATTTTTGGTGGTTCGGCTAACCTTCTATTTGTCCTGACACCTGCCCTTTAATAACAGCAGGAAGCCTCAACAATCAGTTTAAAAACAGCAGTAACTCAGCAGCTCAATTGCCAACCCAACAGCGGGCTCTTGCAGACAAGAGACTTCACCTAGTATGCTTGAGTGTGTGGTTGGTACTGATCAGACAAACTCTCAACACACTAACTTGGTGCAGCAGTACAGTACAACACAGATTCAATGCAGAGATATACATATATTTCCTTCATATTTGAGAATCCTGCTCAGACGGGCCTGCTTGTTTCTACGTCTGTATGCCTTTTAATATCACTATAGTTTTGTGTTTCACTCCCAGCCCGTACCAGAGGAGCTGCAGAATGGTGAAGGCTTTGGCTACATCATTGCCTTCAGACAGACGGGCACAGTCATGTGGACACGAGCTGTTCAATCCACACCTGGAGTCTCGCGCTACACCTTCCGCAATGACACCCTCCCCGCCTTCTCCCCATTTGATGTGAAAGTGGCAGCTTACAACAACCGCGGGGAGGGCCCATTCAGCTCCATTGCAACAGTATACTCAGCAGAAGAGGGTATGAACACTCCAAGATTATTTTATGTGTCTGTCTGTACTTCAAATAAAGATATAATACCAGATTTTGAATTAATAACATAGCAAATATATAACATGTATATGGCATATGTAATGCATATATAATGTTACAGTCTATTCACTTTTGCTTCAATCAAGAATACATTACATTTCTGATAAATCATCATCTTTAGATATAGTGATAAAAAACAACATTGCAGTTCTGCTTTACATGTACAGTAGTGTTGTAATAAGAATGTTGATATATAAGTAGTCTTGCTGAGTTTTTAGTTTTATTTAAATGTGCAATATGCAACTTTCTGGAGGTGCTACATCACCTGCTCAAGTCCATGGAAACAGAAAGTTCAAACCATACTTTGGAACATTCTCCGTGGAGATAGTCAAGCTTTATGTCACACTGTTAAATATTATAGCCAAAGGAACCATGTCCATGAAAGAAGCAGGAGGAGGCCTTCAGTTTCTGAGTGCAATAAAAAAAACAACCTGCTTTTCTTTTTGTCTTATTTTTTGGCTAAAAAGTTAAATATTGTGGCTTTAATTTCCCAGCATAATTATCCATCAGATTAACCTTTTTACACTTGGCTTTCCATTCTCCTCAAGACAATTGCAAAAAGAAAACATCCATCTTGGTAAATGGTCACATTTTTCTATAGCTCTTTTCCACCTTCAAGGCACTTTACAAAGCGCTTTACAACAAGGAACCACTCACCCATTCACACACCAGTGTACACAGACACTGTGGGCAAGGTGGGTTAAGTGTCTTGCCGAAGGACACAATGACAGCATTCATCTGTGGGAGCTGGAATCACACCAAACAACCTGTGGGTCAGTGGATCTGACTGCTCAACCTGTGATGTTTTATGTTGAGAGCTGGAATCAAACCACCAACCTTCAGATCTGAAATCTTGATCCAATTATGTATGAGCTCAATAAGTAAAGAGTCAAAACTCAAATCAAGATAATGATAATGCAAATATTGCATGTTTACGGTGTGACCAAGTGCTTAAATACTGTTTAATCTTTCGTTACAACTCTGACCTTGGATAGCGACGGTGGAATTAATGCATCTTGCACTTCTTCCCTCCTCAAGTCGGGAATGTCAACTGAATATTAGTTATCACGGCGCTAGATTACTGGAAATCCTAGCAGACACTTACCACACAGCGCTGTTAGGGAGGTATCCAGTTAATTGAATTTGCCGGGCAGATAGTCTTCCTCTATGTCACTCACTGATTCCATTAAAGCAAGAACTGGGGAAATAGCACTGCAGTGGAACTATGGGTGTATTTTGTGCTGTACTTGGTTATTGCTATTAGTAAGTGGGGTTTTCTCTGCTGCTCTATTTCTGTAGTCCCCAGTGTGGCTCCTAAGAGGGTCGTGGCTCGGAGTATGTCTGCCGTACAAATTGAAGTGGTCTGGGAAGCTTTGCACGCCCTCCCCGAAAGAGTGCTTGGATACGAGGTATGTATTGCACTGAAATATTCCTCTTCCATATCTGGATAATAGTGTATTTCCCATCGGGTTTAACTTATAGCCTTCTACTTAATTATACTACTTTACTACTTTTAAAGACAGTTATAATTTAGTTTTTATCCAAGTTCATATATTGCACCATTGCCTTTTATAGATCAGAACTTTTGTAGTCCAATTCCCGCTGGTGAGCATCTGGGTCACCATTATTGGTCTTCATCATACCAGTTACTCTTCTGAGAATTGAAATGAGTCGCGCTCTATAATCTATTTAGCTGACTCCTAATTCATTTTATAATTCCTTAGAGAATTATTTATTGAATATGAAAAGCCCCTAAAATTGCAAACAAGAGCTGGCCAAGATCCTAGTTTAATTGCAGACTTATTAGCCATTAGAGTCATGCAGCTGAATAGCACAAAAGCTGCTGCAACACAAGTTCCTGAAATTATTGATTATTCTTTCTATCTAAAAGTGCATTATAAAATGGTATACTTAAAGAGGGAGTGTAGAAAATGTTTCAGTGGCGGTCATCTGGACACTGTTTCTACATGTCCAGGGGATTCTACCATGCTATAACACTGTTCCCTCATCAAAAACATGCCTGTGGTTTTATATGTCACCCATGCATGTTTGAGTAATCTTGCTTACAGTTAGCATTCTGAGTCTACATCTCTTAAAAATATTCTGACTCATCACCACCTAAACCCCAGCAGGCTAAACTGAGCAAAATCGAATCATTTTGCTTTATATTCTTCTTTCATTTATACAGTACTTATTCTAAGATATAGTTTATTTATTAGTATGGATTGGTTGTTGGATGATTTCTCTGTTCAAAATCTCACTATTATGCATTACTAAATAACACTGTAACCTTACCGCTGGTTCAAGTTCTCTTTAAGTGTGTTTTTATAGCTCTAACACAAGCAGTGACCTCCAGCACAGCTAATGCACAGCAGAATAATCCTTTATGGAGCTCTTCTGTGCGCTCTCCCCTGGTGCTCTTTCAGTGGCTGTCACCTATGGCCCTGTGCTCACGGCTCACAGTTGCCATAGCACGGCCCACATTGTCCCTCTTTACAACATGGCTCCTTTTGCTATGCCTAAAGTGGATTCGAGCTCCTCACTCTCAATGGGCCACCAGTATTATAGATCAGCAGCTTTAATTAACACCATTCAGAACGAGTATATACTGCATTTTCTCATACTCCTCTGAATATTATGTTACACTGAAGTCATTTTGAGTTTTATCTTACACAGCACTAATTGAAAAACACATATAATGTGGTCATTTGAAAAGCAGAGCCTCCCCTAAGGGAGATGTTTTGATTGAATTATTCATCTACTTTTATATCATGTTATACCAGCTTTATTGACTCTTAAGATGTCCTACGGCTAGTTGCAAAAGTTTATTTACTAAGATTTCACCCCACTTGCATATGTAAACTCACAGTGCTTTGGATTCAGCAGTAGAGCAGTTTTTTGCTATGTAGAGGTGTTATCATAGTTATCACTTGAAAACTAAACATTGGTCAATACCTTATATAGGAGAGGTGGCATCAGAAAGCATACCAGACCTCAGTACTGTATACCGTATGCACCGAGACGTATGCACCAGTATGCACCGAGACTCAGTATGCACCGAGACTCAGTATGCACTGAGTATGTTATGAATAAATGGTGAACATACTGTATAGGAAGCTTTGCAGTGCTTCCATTTTACTAACTTTTTTTGCCAAAAGCTGAGCTTTATATCAGATTAAAACGGCAGGAGTTTGTTATTAAAAACACAATATCAAATATTCTTGTTCTTGAATTTGCAAAAAAAGGCATTTCCATTTGTCTTATAAGTAATAAAATTGTTTTCCAGCATGTTAAGCAGCATTTTTTTTCTTTATTTGGTTCAAGAAACTGCTTAATGCTACACAGAATTCTTAATAAACATAGATCATTATTTTTCATTTTATTCATAGTCATGGCAATATCTGTCTAAAATGACTTCATAAAAGAAAGCAGTCTTTAACTTCCTGTTTAAAACTGCAGAACTGATTCGCTGCTGCCCCTTATATGCAAGACATGTTTAAAGATTCATAAGCATCTCCAGCGCCGGCTGATTCAGTCTAACTTTCACCACCAGGTCGTTTACTGGGAAGATGACACCAAACCGGACACTATAGGCAAAGTGCGCCTGACAGGGAACTACAGCGCCACCAACCTGACGGGCCTGAGAGCAGACACTGCCTACTACATCTCTGTGGCAGCCTTCAACACAGCCGGCCCAGGCCCTCAGACTGCACCCATCAACAGCACCACCAAGAAGTCTCGTAAGTGTGTCCCCAGAGGCACCCACACACCCCCACACACCCCCACACACACCCACACACACCCACACGTACAGACACACTTAGAACGTACATCAGCTGTCATAAACAATGTGAGTCTGTTGTACCAATGATGGTTAAAGCAAGGCTCTGCTTTGGCTAGCAGCTCGTTAAATTTCATCTGACATGACTCCTTTCATTTTGATCTAAAAGAAGCAGGTCCCTGTTATAGTGACGAGGGTTTAAAAAGAAGTGATGTTAGAATGTAAAGGATTTCTCGCGTATTATATTCAGAGTACTTAGATTATTGTGTACAATTGTAGTGGCTGCATTGTGTTTGATAATGGCTTGTTCATGGGTTTCAGAATGATGCAACATTAGGACTGTTGCCATAGCGATTAACAATTTAAAACAGAGTAGTCTATCTTTTCAATGGTGAAATGTGCTCAAAATAGATGGAAGTTGAAAACCGTGAACAGGGAACATGGATTTTTGACCTCAGTGGAAAAGTTCAGCCAGTAATAATTTAGTACTGTGTTCTGTGTTTTACTGTTTGCCTCCTATTGACATTGAGAAGGAATACAGTGAACATAGAAAAATGATCATCAGCAAGGCCAAAAATTCAAGTTAATGCATCTGATATAAAAATGTATTGAACAGATACATATGTACTCTAGTTTATGAAACTGTTGACCTTTTTTCTGTACCATTTTTGGTTCTAAAGTTCCATATGTTTTAAACAGACCATGTATGAAACATGGAACAAAAATTATTTCCCAAATTTCAAAGACCTGCAAATCATGTCAATAAATGGATGTATTTCATCATATCTTGTGTTATTCCATCTCTGAACTGTTGATGAAGGTACATGATTTAAAAAAATAATAATAATATTTAAAATGATAAAAAATTTGCTTGGAAGGACTGACATATTTTATAGAAATAGTTTCCTTTCGTTTTGAAGTAATATTAAAGTATTCAGAAGAAAATTATTATGAAAAAATTATGCAAAAACATGCACTTTCTACTTGCTTGCACAATCCATTACTTTTCCCTCCGTTACCATGACCTTTCTTAATAAAAAATCTCATTAGTCAAAAAGTAAGAGGTTTTTCAACCTAATCTTGTACCATATGGTAGAAAACTATATGAAGCAAATATTCAAACCAGTTTGTTAAGGATATGTAAGTGAGAACCAAGAGTTATCACTGTTTGTATTTATTGCCCAAAAAGTGCTGCATATTTCATTCCCTCTGTTACCAACATTTTTTTAATTTTTTGTCAACAACTTGAAAGAATATCACAGGTTTAACTTGACCCTGTTGGAGTGTAACTCTTTCCTACATTCTGATACTTTACTTATTTCAATAGTTCCTCTAGTTTCTGAATAAGAGACATTTGAATGTCAAAAATCTGCCCCTGTTTCCCTCCGTTAACACTTGACCAGACCCATATATCCTTTCAAAGCTTACTCTCCTATGTTAGAATTAGCAGTTTAACTAAGTCCCTACAAATATTAGCAATTCAGCATTTGAGCCACTGCACAGTATGAACCAGCAGTGATGTGCAATTTAATATTTTCCTTTTTAAACATGAGAAAACTGTGACAACATGCATCTAGCTTTAATAACATCTTTAATTAAAGAACATTCCCAACTGAGTAATAATTCCCTATACTATATGTGGATGGGAGTCATTGTAAACTTGCAAAGTCTTTGCCAACTCAAAATTCCTTTCATGTGTTGTGTGTTGTAGAAAAAAACTTAAAGGTGCATTGTGTAACTTTTCTGGTGGAGGGTCTGTCAAATGCTTTTTCTTCATGGAGATGCTTGTATGTATGGTATTAAACTTTTCTGTTTTCATGGAGACCAAACCAGACCAAATTACAGGTCAGATCTGTGGAGAGTTAACCCCACTCACAGTCAGAATGCCTGTTTTGTATTTTTGTTTGTTTTTCTTTTAGGTATTTTTGAGCTATAAATCCACCTCTAATTGAATAAATGTAAGATAGAGCTGTTTAATGTAATACTATGAAACATTTCAGGGAGAGCAATAGCGTATCCATAGAAACAAGCATGTGATGGACCCCCAACCACATATAGCATACATACATACATAGTGTATCTTTAAAGGAGTGACAGGGTATTCTAAAACTGATTTATGTTTCAATCAACATAATGTTTTTAGCTTAGGTAGATTTGAATTACATGTGACCTTATTGATTGTGGCGTGTCTTCATGTTGTTACAGGATACTCGGTTTGGCTACATAAAAATATGATACAGTTACAGACATTTTATTTATATTCTGAATCTGTCCACATAGAGCAAAGGTCAAACTAAATGGTTTTGTGTCATTGATTTGATTAAATATGTGAAGTATTTATAAGAAAATATGTAATTTTCTAATTTCACTCTGCTAATGTCTATCTAGCCCCAGACCGGCCTCCGCTTAATATTCAGTGGACTATGGTTGGCTCCACACTCTCTCTGCACTGGGATCCGGTTGTTGCCACAGAGACGGAGTCAAAGGTCACGGGATACTTGGTGAGTTTACCATTAGGTCTCTCACTTGTTCACGAACATATTGACATTTTTCATGTAGCACTTTCAATCTTGCATCAGTAGTTACTCATTTAAATTAAAAATCCTGACTTGTTGATTTGACAGTTCCCATATGATTATGCATAAAAGCAGCAGGAATTTTTTTTAGGATTTTAATTGCAATCAGTGTATCAGACTAATGTGAATTGAGATCCGGATCCTCCAAGACCACTTTGCCCGTTTTTTTATTAACAGTTTTTTTTACCCACTAATGCACTAACACACATTTGATCTAAGAGGGCACATTCTTCATCCAAATGCACTTTAACAAGCAAAGAAAACTTGCAAAAAGTATAAATATGAGTTGGGAGTAAAATGGATGAGGTACACACATCAAACTATGGCCATATAAAGTTGTTTTGAAAGTTGCATATAAGGAGCAGCAAGGGCAGCTGTCGAGTAATGAGTCATGCTTATTGATTCATACATCCATAAATGCGTTCAGCGATCAACTAGTTTTCTACTTTCTGAAACTAATTCCAAGCAAAACGAACGTAATAACTCATTATAATATAAACACTTCACTTCAGGTGCTGTTGAAAAGACACCGCTACAATGACATGACCACGCTCTTGACCTCCAAAACCAGCGTGGAGCTCAGCCTGTCCTCCTCCGACAACTATCTCATCCAGATCAGGGCCGTGAGCGAGGGCGGCGAAGGAGCGGGCAGCGAACCAATCCACATCCACAAATTAAGTGAGTTTGCCATTCTCCGTGCTTGCATATCATTTCCTTTCTAGCTCTTGATGAATCCTAAGTGAGAACTCAATAAGTCCTCTAAAGAGCGTTTCATTTGGCTGGGGTGCATCCCTCTCAAGCCACGTGTAATAGACTTACCTCAGAGGAAAGCAACCTTTTTAGAAATGCGTGCGCAGTGTCATCCATCTCTGCCATTGGGTTATTATTCCTTGTTGACTGGCTGCACAGCGCCGCAGCATATAAAGCAGTTCTGTGCTCCCATCCAGCTGCCGGGCTAAACTGTGAGGCGGCTCAGTGCACACACCGCCATCTGATAGGAATTTTATCTCCTCCGCAAGCTTAAATGGCCTCTCCTGTTCAAGCCAGGATTAATGTTGGGAAATATCACTAAAACAATTTCTGGTCACTTGTCAGGAATACTTTTGATTCAAGGGATGCCAGTGCTTGTAAAGGTGACTGTAGTACTAGGCGTGTCATGATAAATACTATATGGAGGAGTACATAAACAATACATGAAACGTGGAACAATAACTTTTGGGGGTCAATATTTATTGGGTATTTTAATTTGCACTAGTGGGAAATTTGTGGTAATTTTTTTGGGGAACTATGATGAAATTTAAAGACGCAATGTGTGACTTTTCTGGTGGAGGGTCCGTCACCTGCTTGTCTCTATGGAGAAGTTAATACTTTGCCTAGAATTTTTCACAGTTTGACATTTCACTGATTTATTTCCGTGGAGACAACCATCAGGCTTACAATAAGAATGCATTTTTTCAAGGTTATAAGTGATAAAAAACACCTGTAATTGAATAAATGGGCTCGGTCAAGCAGAAGTAAACAACAAGGCCAAAAATTCAAGTTAATGCATCTGATATAAAAATGTATTGAACAGATACATATGTACTCTAGTTTATGAAACTGTTGACCTTTTTTCTGTACCATTTTTGGTTCTAAAGTTCCATATGTTTTAAACAGACCATGTATGAAACATGGAACAAAAATTATTTCCCAAATATCAAAGACCTGCAAATCATGTCAATAAATGGATGTATTTCATCATATCTTGTGTTATTCCATCTTTGAACTGTTGATGAAGGGACATGATTTTTCCAACAAAAAGTATTTAAAATGATAAAAATTTGCTTGGAAGGACTGACATATTTTATAGAAATGGTTTCCTTTCATTTTGAAGTAATATTAAAGTATTCAGAAGAAAAAAGTTGACAAATGATGTAAAATCCTGCACCTTCTACTTGTTTGTACAATTTTCCCTCTGTTACTTTTCCCTCCGTTACCATGACCTTTCTTCATAAAAAATCTCATGACTCAAAAAGTAAGAGGTTTTTCAACCTAATCTTGTACCATATGGTAGAAAACTATATGAAGCAAATATTCAAACCAGTTTGTTAAGGATATGGAAGTGAGAACCACTAGTTATCACTGTTTGGATTTATTGCCCAAAAAGTGCTGCATATTTCATTCCCTCCGTTACCAACATGAGTTTTTAAATTTTTTGTCAACAACTTGAAAGAATCTCACAGGTTTAACTTGACCCTGTTGGAGTGTAACTCTTTCCTACATTCTGATACTTTACTTATTTCAATAGTCCCTCTAGTTTCTGAATAAGAGACATTTGAATGTCAAAAATCTGCCCCTATTTCCCTCCGTTACCACGTGACCAGACCCAAATATAACATAGATCAGTTTAATGACGGACCTCACATCAGAAAAGTTAAATACTGAACCTTTACATAGTCGAGGTTTGAATTATCAGATCAATGACATGAAATGAACTGATGTTAATACGCTGATGTTGTGGAGAGCCTCAGAGCTATTGTGCGATGCCACTCAAGGTACTTACTGTTTCTTCTCAAATCTTTATTGTATGGGAAAGCATTGGTCCAAACAAGCACCATGGGATAACTACAATTCTATCCTAACATAGTTCCCTAGCATCCAATTAGTTGTAGCCGTTGGCATTTAGTGTAGCGTAAAAGCTTTTGTAGAACAGTTAAATATTGATTTTCCCCACTGACTGGATGAAGCACACAGCACATACTTCAAGTTTCCTTGGTATTATTCTATATTTCAAAGTTTGAATTATTTAGTATCCCCTATTCTATGTGGAAAAATGTGGTGTTTAATTAAAGCCACCACTTTAAATGGTTTTACTTTATAATATGCCATTATACTGCTCTTGATAGATTGGATTTATATTGTTAGAATTAGTGTAATTTACAACATATTACTGGCTACTCTATTAGTGGAACACTTAATGGTGCGGTTAAGGTCCATTAATTGTCATATTCATTTAAACATTAAATAAATGCATATTGTACAGAGGATTTACTTGATTTAGGCTTAACTAATGAGATGTTCTGATCTCTTATGAGTGGCATAAAATTATAAATCTTTACTTTTGATTAAATTACAATTTTATTCTTAAGCTTTGGTGTATGAGTTTCTGTAAATTGAAGTTTGGTCTGTTTTACTGACATTCTTTTTGTTGCATTTTTGTCTACCTCTTGTTTTAAGACCACACCGGGTTCAGTAGACATCCAAAAGTTACCTCTGCTTTCAAGACAGAACATTTATTTTCAACTTCCAGTCTCTTTCCACACTTGTTGTTGTTGAGTGTCTTCTCTTTTTCGATGTGCTGCAGGTATGGGCGCGCGGGGCTCCGGGTCGACCTGCCCTGGCCTGTGGTACCCTGGACTGGCTCTCATCAGCGCGCTGCTCTGCTCCCTCTGGTAATGTCCAATCAGACCCCTCCATGCTCTTGCTCTTCAGTTAGACAAGGCTCTTCTCACTGGACTGACACAAGGACCAGGCTGCACCGGACAAGCACGAACTGGACCATCAAATCAAGTCTGGATGATTTTGGTGTATGATTGTAGTTTTTTTTTTTTTTTAGATTTTTAGATTTTTATTTTTTTTTGGAAGAGTGCAACCATGCTTTACTCCTCCTGACTTAGACCGTATATCCATGCAGAAGCTATTGCCTCAAGTATCCATTGAAGTCATCTGATCTCTACCAAAGTTGTAAGAATGGCTGCTGCTTCATGTTTTTGACCCTTTAGGCATATGCTCTTTGACAAAAACATCACTGTAATTAGTAAGTTTGCTTGTTTTGTTTTTGGTGTTTCAGATCTAGTTGTGTGAGATGTGAGTTCATAGAGATGGGTCAATTTTGAACAATCCATCTCCGAGAACAGATTTTATTTTATTTTTTTTAAGTTAGTCATGAGAGCCAACACCAATATTTAGAGCCAAATTTAATGCTGCTCCTGGTGAGATTTGCTTAAAGTCCACACTAGCTGGAAAAATGTGCACAAAACCACCAGTTCCACATGAGAATAGACTTAAGAGAACATTTATTTGTCTCACAATGGGGAAATTCTACTGTTGCAATGAAAGATCAAGAACAGCAGGATGATGGGAAAAATGCTAAATCAAGATAAGTAAATATTAAAAATCCATGAAATAATAGACAAAATCAAACACAACAGTGTGTCGGTAGAATACAGATATAGGGATACAAAACAATTTCGTACAATACATGATGCTATGATTATGTACAGTACAGCATATGGGCAAGGATAGAAAGCAGGTAAAGATACTGTGAGACTGTTACGTACATTATGTACAGTAAGTAGCCATAACTATGTTTATTTACAGTACAGGTCTATAAAAGTAATATGGGCTCCCAGTTTACACTAAAGCGTAACAGCGCCTAAGCGCAGCAGCACAGCATATGAGCAGCATACACACAGGTATCGCTTTCCATTTGAACCAGTTGGACAGTTTACACAGGCAGTGTCATACGCGCATTCATCAGCCGTCATTATGCTACGTGGCGCTCAAAATAGGTTGGAGTTCTAATATTGCACTGTCAATGGAGCGTCTCTAGGCTTTTTAGCAGGGAAAAGACAGGAAATGGGCACACAGTATCAAAATAAACTTCCGATGCCCTTTCAAAATACATTCTCTAAAACCACTACAGTCACGCATCGCATCCAGAAGCTCGGTGAATGACTCGTGATGGACTATGGATATATAATATAATATAAAAACACTTTATGGCATCAGACAGCATCTTTACAAGATCAACTTCTGAAGGAAAAGGCGCATGGTGCAGACAACCAAAGTGAAGTGAGTAGTTTAATTAATGCGAGCACCGCAGATACGGTGGCTTGTTATCGCTGCAAAGCACCGTCTCTCTAGGTGTCAACTTTTGTGTTGTGATTTAAAATATAATTCATCCAATCAACAATAAATACATAAACAATGTAAAAAGTGTAGTGAGAATACATGAGAATACACAGAGGCTGGTGTCAGAGGAGCAGATGTGCTGCCTCTGGTGTAAATTGAAGCTTTTAAAAATACGCGCATATGCAGCTCTGCTGACGTTGCATGCTGCTGACACTCCTGATGTAAGTTTCGAGCAACTGTCAAATAGGACAGGTGAACAACTGAGAAAAAGAAATGGTTTTCAAATGTGAAAAGATTTGTGATTCAGGAATGTAGTATATATAATGTTGACAGAATAACACAAAAGATGATCGCCAAAATAAAATATGAAATATCATGAGAATTACACCATTTAGGAAGCATAAGAGCTAATTTTTCATGAACAACCAATTCAGAAGAATCAAATCCTTGATAAATCACTTACTAAAAATCAAAGTACTTCTATAGGTCTGTATAACAGCTGTGAAAAAACATACAACAGCTTACATAAGAAAAGCAAAGGGCATGCAGACATCTTACATGAGAAAGTATTGATTCTTCAGTTTACAATGACCCTATGCACTGTAAGTAATACGGCACGCAGTGTGGATATGACTCCATTCAAACAGGCTTCAAAACATCTCCACATCCATTTCTGAACTACTATTAATACCACACACTACGATTATCTCAATTTGTGCAGATTTTTGCCAAGAGAAGCACCTCGAGCATGCAGACAGTTTCACGGATTTGTCGAGTACATTAAGTCGGCATCTCAAATTGATCAACGGTGCCTCAGAGCCACTTATCTTTGCACATTGAAATAATATGAACCCTCAGCTGCTTAAGGCCCCTCCACAGTCTCTGGAAGGATCCTGGCATTTGGCTCTCTGTCTCACTCCTCTAAATAATAAATGCCTATCACAGCCTGGTTGCAGGAGGGAAAAAAATAGGATTGCAGAGAATAGAGACGTGTTACTGTGTCGGGCAGGTCCCCAGTGTAATGCTCCCGACTACAATTAGACGACCCCTGTTCTAGATACATAGATCATTTTACAGTGTGTACAGCGACCACCCACTCTCTGCTCCCATGACCAGATGGACCAGTGTACGTTGGATTACATGATGATAACAGTGCCTTCATCACTGCTTGGCTTCAAAGGTGGAGAGATGTTTTGATGTAAGGTGGAAGTTATTTTGTCTTTTTTTCTTTTTTCTTACATGTTTCTTTTCTTTTTGCAGTGGAAATACAACTTAAAGCTTCTGTCATACTGCATCTGCTATTTTGGTTGATACAAACGGCACACTATAAACCACCAAATCAAGAAATACTTCAGATTTTATGATCATATATTTTGAGAAGAGCCATAAAGGTGCACGATGTAACTTCTCTGGATTAGGGGTCCACTGCCTGCTTGTCTCCATGGAGATAGATAAGTTTCATGATGTACTGTTGAACCATAGACTGTATATATAAATAGTGTTGGGAAGGTTCCTTTTAAAATGTATTCCCCTACAGATTACAGATTACATACCCCAAAATGTAGTTTGTAATGTAATCCTTTAAATTACTTAAAGGGAGTAATGTAATCTGAATACTTTGGATTACTTGATATTGTCATGCTTTTTAAAACGACATGAATGTAGCGACCACATCCTGATAGAGAAATGATTTTTATATGAGATCACTGCTGCCTTCAATTATGTCCACCTACTGTTAGTGTCATATTGTTTAGACCTGGTTTAGTCCTGGTTTAGTCCTGGTTTAGTCCTGGTTTTAGACTTGGTTTTAGACCTGCTTTTAGACTTGGTTTTAGTCCTAGTTTAGTCCTGCTTTAGACCTGCTTTAATTCTGCTTTTAGACCTGGTTGAGTCCTGCTTTTAGACCTGGTTTAATCCTGGTTTAGTCTCGGTTTAGTCCTGGTTTAGTCTTGGTTTTAGACCTGGTTTAATCCTGGTTTAGTCTCGGTTTAGTCCTGGTTTAGTCTTGGTTTTAGACCTGGTTTAATCCTGGTTTAGCCTCAGTTTAGTCCTGGTTTTAGACTTGGTTTGGTCCTGGTTTAGTCTTGGTTTAGTCCTGGTTTAGTCCTGGTTTAGTCCTGGTTTAGTCCTGGTTTTAGTCCTGGTTTAATCCTGGTTTTAGTCCTGGTTTAGCTCAAAATGTGAAAACAGGAAAATACCGCCCTGTAATCCATTTATTTCAACAAAGTAACTGTAATCCAATTACCACTCACTGAAACAGTAGCTGTAACTGAATACAGTTACTCATAATTTGTACTCTGATTACGTAACTCCAGTACATGTAATCTGTTACTCCCCAACACTGTTTATGAATGTTCCAAATAGGAAGGGAGTGTCCAATTGACTTATTGAAAAACTGTCAGCCTCTCTCTGTAACTGCTGCAGTGAGCTTCATCATTTTGGTCTTAAAATGTTTGTTTTAAGCCGCTCTCGATCCTGGTGTTTTTATTTCACTATTTTGTCCATTAAATAAATTCCTATTCTTGATATGGCTCCAAATCCATCCCTGTAACTGCTAGGATCATGAGCCGAACACTCCCTTTGTCCACGTCTGTATACAGTCTTTGTGTTGAACCACTAAAAAGTTACATAATGCACCTTCAATCAACAGAGCTCGCTCCTATTGTAAATAACTGTGGGCAATCAGCTCTACTTTCTTTTGTAGTTTTGTTATGGCCTCAGTTCATTCTATGACAAGCTCAAAGAAACTCAGTCTGTCACAGATTGCATGAGACAAATTAGTCAAAAAGAGGACGATTGAAATGAACCCTGCTGTGACCAAAGTGTGCTGGTGCAGAACAGCAGCCCAATTAACATACAAGCAAATTAAGCTAATGAATTGTGCTTATTTTGCTCTAATTCCTCAGTCTGCTTTAAGACAGTTATAGGTGCTCCTGTGGGATAAGACGTACCTCATACCTAAATATCTAGGGACCATATTTGAAAAAAAATGTGAAAAAAGTTGAAATATACGAAACTGACCAGAGAGCTATACGAGGTGAGCTGCACAGACTTGACATCCCTAATTGCACAGTATGACAGACGCTTAAGCAAAAAAGAACCACATTTGGAAATCTGCATTGAATTAGTGTCCGTGACTGAAAGTTGGTGCCAGAATTTACGGTCTGTCATTATTAATGTATGACTCCAACCGCAGCATAATTTATGAGCTATTAAGGCATCAGAATAATTGATGCCAAGTGCTTTGACTGGAACCAGAGGCAAAAGGTACGGCGTTCATTTTGAAACCTTTACTGTCTAATGCACACTACAAAACTTTTGAGAACTACTTGTGGATGGAGCTTTCAAATCCATGCAAGTAGGACACCGGCCCCCCAGAACACTGCTTCACTTTACTGTGCCTTTTGCTGAATACAAGGCTGCGTAGACCCTCGTTTGCTTGGAGGCTGGCCTGGTCTGTATTTTTGCACTCCTTACCCCGCCCCAAAGTCAAGCAAAAGCACAAGAAACTGCTGCAAGGTGACGGAACAGGTACGTGGACC